CCGATTCCTGTGCCACCAAACTCTCGTGGTCAAGTCGCTTACCACCCTTATGACTGTATGACACTCTCTTGTCTCTGCCCGTTCTTCGCGGTGAGTTCAGCGATTGTGACCGTCGGAATAGCCTTCATAAAGACCCTTCTCTCGACTTTCAGGGACGAATGCAAGGCGGTAATTGTGTGCTGTCAAACGGAGCTGTTCTAACGATGGCATATCGTAAAGAATATCGTATGATGACAGACGATGAACGAAATCGTTGGCATCGAGCACTATATACGCTGAAAATGAACGGAGAGTACGACCGAATCAGCAGGCAGCATTTTGACGTGAGTTACCGCCAACCTTTGATGAACCTCTTATCCCGTAAAAATCTTGAGAATGAAATATGCAGGTCGGCGTTGGCTCTGGAGCCCACTCTGGACCCGGTTTCTTGCCTTGGCATAGGGAATACCTGAAGAGGTAAGTTTATTACTTTTTTTCATGCCTATTAGAAATTATTTAGTGGTAGATTTGCCAAATCGCCTTCGTATGGTCGATGCCAACAGTAACTCGATTCTTGACTGGACGCGTCTGTCGACAATTATATCCCGATCCACAGAGATTCCAGATCCTTTCCTCAAACTATTTTCGCTGGTGAGACCGACTTCTACGGAAACGTTATCCAAGGTCCGTTTGCCTACTGGAGAACCCTCGAAGGACGTCCAACAATTCTCAGGTAGGTCTCCATTACTTTGAAACATTTAGAGGCCAATAGTGTCCACAGCTTGAGCTTGAGTGAAAATATTGTCTTCCAGGAATCTGGGTCGGGAAGGCTCTTTGTTGAATGAGAATCAAATCAACAACGTTGTAGCACAAAACACCATCGAGAACACGTTGGCCTACACGGCTCCAATGCTGTGATATTTCTCAAGACATAGATAGCCGTGGGCAAGATAGGACAGGAAATGTTGGGTACATGGTACAGCATCTTTGTGTGAAACACATGAGGGGGGAGAGGCCGTTCTGAGACCCTCCTTCGAGTTAGGAGTCGCACTGACACCACCATTTCACACATCACGAAGCTGTGCCTTGGTGAAATAGGTCTGCAATCGCAGACGTTCCCTTTGAAAATGCTTGGGCAAGGTCACAGTGGCTTTTGACTCACGGCCCTAGTGTGTCAAGGGCCGCAAGGAGGACAGCAGCCTTCACTCTCTGCGCACTTTCTCGTCCTTCGTTATCTGGTCTGTCTTCCGAAAGCTCAGTGCTCTTTCTCTCTTACACAGCTCAAAACGGTCGGAAAAAGAATGCCCCGGTGGGCTATTTTCAGCTATTTCTCTTGATTTCTTACCCATTCGAGCGTTATTTGGCATATACAAATTTCCTTCTTATCACTCACAGCCTATGACCGTGTGTATCTAATCAGTTGTGTCAGAGCTCAGATTGTGAAGGGACTAGAAGTGGTTAAAGGAAGCCCAGTTGCGGGAGCTTTGCCTTTTTTCCTTACTAGCAAGCAGGGTCTACCGTGGCGATGGTTTGTGAGTGAAGGCTTATGTATAAAATCCCCTCCCCATATCCGTCAGGGAGATAAGTGGCCTAATCCACCATTCTTCTAAGGAAAAACCCTCTCTTTGGTTCAGGTGAGATGGCAAAATCAACTTAGAAATTACACTTTTGATTTCGAGCGCCAATTAATCGGAGAGGAGTTTTAGAGCTTAAGCCCAGGAGAGATGAAAGCGCCATCCGAGATACAACAGATTAGGTACAACCAGGGCACGCCATCGCGTTGTGATCATTTCCTGAAAAATACGACCCCCTCCATATAGATATTCCCAAGTTTCTACCAGTTTTTCCATTTTTTCCCCGAAAAATTTCCAGTTTTTCAAGAATTTTCCGTCGAGCGGGGGGGGGGTAGTAAGGTAGTTGTATAGATCTTTGGATCCTTGACAGTCCCTCTCTCAACAACGGTCAAAGTACGTCCCACCTCCCTTATACCTCCGTGAAACAAGAGAAATCAACTACCAAAAAAATTTCCCAACCCCTCCTCCCTCGCGGTCAAACACGCCCCCCCCCCTTTTGTGATCATCACAACGATGGCGTGCATTGGGTACAACCCTGCTCTCTTCCAAGTAAAATAGTACCGCATTTCTTGTAAAGGGAGTCGCGTGCCCCAGACAAAGTTACCTGAAACCTCTGATATTTGACCCCAATACCCAAATCTCGCCGAAGTGAAAATTGGCCTCAAAAGAACATTCCGCGCGCCATCAATTAAATCACCGCTATTGAAGTGTGGCATTTTACACCTGGGCGACGCGACCAGCTTCACGTCATTGCCGTTGTGTGTACTAGATGACCTCGGGCGAAGTGAATAAACTATTGTTACCTGAATCTCGAGGTCATCCACCCGTGACGAACAACAAACTCTTTCTCGCGTCCTGTCCCGACTATTTATGAATCGATCGTCTAGAATAGAAAAACCTGACCCGCGGGTTACGGATTCAAGGTGGTTTTGTGGGAGGCCGACAAAGGAATGACAATGTGTAAATTGAAAGCATTTACAGACAAATCTAGCGTGAGCCATGCCTTTTCGTGGACCAGTGGACTGGTAACGCCTTAACTTTTTTATATTTAGTTTGCATGTTTCTAAGGAAGTTGAAAAAAGACAACTGAGAAATATAATCGATGCTTCCGCAATGTCATGATCCCCGGGCAAGATCTAACGGGAGACAAGCTGTGGGCTCAGAACTGGGAATTATAAATAAAAAGAAAGACGACATGAATGAATAGAAGTCATCATTCTGCACTTCCCCATCCAATTTTTAGACCAGGGAGGCAGAATTTCAAGGCAAGTGGCATGGTAAATCGACAAGGCTTACAGGCTCAATACGTCTAGCACGAGAGAATATTGTACTCTTTAGCAGGGGCCGTGCGGCGCCTTTTCCAACCAAGAGCAGCGTTTTAGCGCGAAGGAGCAACGTGCTGATCCAAACATCATCTTAACCGCCCGCCCACAAGTGACCGTAAAACCACATCGACGCTGCTACTCTTGTGGCTTCATTTATGAAGTAAATTTACATTGATA